AACGCCTGCTGATTTTCATCACTTTTACACCAACGGATTAAGCTCAAAATTAAACATTTTGAGCTGGTGTAAAAATCACGATATTCACCAGGCGTCCCTCGTTCTTTTTATACAAGATTTTCTGATGATGTCTACACGGTTTTTTAATTTTATTTTTAAATTGCTACAAATCAACCCAATGAGTTACCATCTGGTGTATGTTTTATGGAGAGTAAAAAAAAAAAAAAATTTAAAAACGAGAAAAAAACTAAAATAAAACTCATGGTTTTTATTAGCTTGATTCAATGCTCAATCTTGTTTTTTTACTTGTTTGTTTCATTAATTCYTGCTCTTTTCCTTCCAGTTTCCTTTGTACAGCAACCGACTTGTTAAAACCGACTTTTTAAAATCTTTTTACCTATATTGGTTTTTTCTTATTCATTCATTTTCCCGCCATCGTTCCCCTCGTTGTTGTCATTTTATTTTTTCACTTAATTCTTTGTTCATTGTTTTGTGTTATTCTTTCATTCTTTTTTGTCTTCATTTTTCATTTCTTTTTCACTTCTTCCAACCCAGTTATCAAATCAGCTCTTTCTTTTTTCCAGTCATTTCATTCATCGTTATCATGAGGACCAGCATCCATGTCGCTGTCAAGACTGCATTCTCCTTGATGAGCGTGATCGGTGTGACTGRTAACATCCTAGTCTGTCTTGTTGTTCTTCTCAACAAACCGATGCRAACACCAATGAACTATCTCCTCGTCAACCTAGCTATTTCCGATCTCCTCTTACTAGTATTCTTTAGTCCTTCTTTCATCTTCAGGGACTCGTTCACACATCCTGCAGGTTTAACAGGAGATCTGTTTTGCGTTTTTATCACAGGCGAGAGTTTCGCATGGATGGGAGGCTATGCATCAGCTTACGTTCTCGTTGCCATAGCAATCGAAAGGTATCAAGCGGTAACCAAGCCTTATCACCATAGTAACAGCATCACTAGTTGTAAGCTTAGGTTTCTTGTGGTAAGTTGTTGGGTGTTTGCAATCTCTTGGAATTCAATCGGTTTTGCAGTGAAGCGATACGACGCAGATTTGGGCTTCTGCAAACCTCGTTGGCCAGCGGTTTACTCTTACAAAGTGTATAGCTTGCTGTGTTTCGTCATCATTGGCGTCATCCCAGTGACGATAATGTGTCTTTTGTACTCAAAGATCGTCTATTCGCTGTGGTTCAAGCGAGAAATCGTCCAGGTCAATAACCAGCTTTACGAAAGAAAACGACGAATTAAAGCAACCAAGATGGTACTCATGGTCAGCGGTATTTACACGTTGTCATGGATACCGGAATTGACGATATTTCTTGTCGATGCTTATGCTCCTCGTTACGTAAGCAGCGATGTTGCGTATCCCGTATGTGTTGCTATGGTGACCTTGAATTCTGCCGTCAATCCCATTATATATACACTTCATGGAGAACGATTTCGGTATTTTTTGAAGAAGTTGGTTTGTCGTTGTTGGGGTGTAGACAGGAGTGACCAAGGCTCTGTAGGGGAAGGACAAGCTGGCGTGACTATCACTCAGATTGCTGAGGCAGAATACTATGATACCAAACTGTAATGCTATAAAAAGAACAAGAAAGGATTTGAGTGAGTAACCATGTCCGGTCACGTCCCGTGACCCTACTAGTAGGACTTTTATGTTCATTTGTGTCCCCTAGCACCAGGGTCACCCTACCTTCATATGAACGGTCTCTCATAAGGAAGGATAACCTAGGACTACCCTATTGTTTTGGGTGTCCCCTTGTGAAAGGAAGGTAAAAGACTTGTCCCTAGCATCAGGGTCACCCTACCTTCATATTTACGGTCTCTCATAAGGTAGGGTAACCTAGGACTACCCTATTATTTTGGGTGTTCTCTTGTGAAAGGAAGGTAAAAGACTTGCCTCTAGCACCAGGGTCACCCTACCTTCATATGAACGGTCTCTCATAAGGAAGGGTAACCTAGGAATACCCTATTATTTTGGGTGTTCTCTTGTGAGAGGAAGGTAAAAGACTTGTCCCTAGCACCAKGGTCATCCTACYTTCATATGAACGGTCTCTCATAAGGAAGGATAACCTAGGATCACCCTATTGTTTTGGGTGTCCCCTTGTGAGAGGAAGGTAAAARACTTGTCCCTACCACCAGGGTCACCCTACCTTCATATGAACGGTCTCTCATACGGTAGGGTGACCAAGGACYACCCTATTGTTTTGGGTGTTCCCTTGTGAAAGGAAGGTAAAAGATTTGTCCCTAGCACCAGGGTCACCCTACCTTCATAACGGTCTCTCATAMGGTAGGGTAACCTAGGACTACCCTATTGTTTTAGGTGTCCCCTTGTGAAAGGAAGGTMAAAGATTTGTCCCTACCACCAGGGTCACCCTACCTTCATATGAACGGTCTCTCAATGGTTAGTCTATCGATATGATGTCTGGAAACAACCAAACGATTTCTACTGAGAGTAGATATTAGCAAGATGACGCCTCCTTACAGAAAAGAAATATCCAGCAGGGGTTGTTACAAAAGGAAATTATATCTTTCAACATAAATCCCTTCACCCCCACTCAATTATCTAATGTTCCATCTCCTATAAAACCATCATATAATAAACAATCTTTGTGCAGTGTAGCATGTTCATTTGTCTAAATGAAACAAACCCCAAGCTATCAGGAAATTGAATAAATGCCGAAGGCGACTGAAAGACCAAACCGCAGAGGAAGACTATTATGAATAATACTAATGTACTTTACGAGACAGTCACTGGAAGTCTGTCAAGTCTGTTTGCTATATTATATCCAATGAAATCGTGGTAAAGATATATCTTTACTCAGATCAATTAGTAAACATGAAACGGCTTTTAAAAGGGATCATTTGTTCGTTAGCACAATGATGTACATGCATTTACTCTACATTTCCATGTGCCATTTAACTTAAACATTTAGTGATGATAATGGCAGAAAATCCCCCATAAATAGGAAATATTGCAGAGTGAAATCTCGAAAGAAAACGTGAAATTGTGGCACGTGTTTTCAGTGAGCTATTCTCCTCCCAACTCACGGCCTGGCACTCCCACTAACTTTATACTTTCACACTTGGCAAGCCTGTAGGGTTATTGCTCAGAGGCAGTATACCTGCCGAGCACGTATTCAGGTTTGACTTTAATTTATAGCTAAATAATCGTGATTGAAGAGGCCATTTAACCTAGCTAGGTTTATACTACGACTGAGTATAAAAACAGACACTCGAAACGTAAACACTTCAAGTCAGTTTTTTGCAGGTTAGCTGAATCTACTGTTTCAAAGCCCTCTAAGATGAAGCATTGACTAAAAATAACTCTTATTTCCAATCAATTGGCTCAAGGGATGATTTACAGAATGCATTTAAAAAAAGTGACAAAAACCTCGTGTTCACGGTGTCATCACTATAAGATGCTTTCATTTTGGAATCGGTATTTTCTCTCTATTCCCAGATAATAAAGATTAGAAATTTTCACTCCCTTTAAATGTTTTCCAGAATTTCTTAACCTTCAAAGTTAGCTATTAACCTGTTAATCCTACACGCCATGATCGTTTTGGTAATGTATATTTTAAACCAATAGAAAGACTATATGTGAAGCCGAAAAACATGTTGTTAAATCTCGTGTTCAGATCCCTTCAAAAGGCGCACGTGTATAAAGTTAAGTCAATGGCTTTCATTTCAATAAAATCATAAAAAACAAATCAATCTTTTTATTTCATACTTCGTGTTAAAGAAAGTCATTTTGGAGTCTTAGTTAGAGGGTAATTTTTAAGTATACGACACCAATCATTTTATATCTCATATTAGTACTATATTGCATATTTATATATAGATATATTTTATCCTATTCATAATTTTAACTTAATTTATTTTCTTAATCTATTCTATTTTATTTTGTGGCACTACCTGCAAATTGGCAAAATATCCTATATATTGAGCTAAGTGTATTTTTGACCACCTTAAATAAAGTTCTTGTATTGTATATTGTATAATCCATTTAATGTTTCAAGTACCCAAATTTTAACTTTTATCATATTCGCATTTGTTTTTAGTTAACTGACTCACGTGGACGGATATAATGATATCTCACGTGTTGGTGATCACACGGACAACAATAATTTTATAACCTGGTTTTTCAGCCATTACATTGCTATACTGATTATGACTAGTGACATAAATATCAAATATCTCTGGAGGGCGATTTCAGTACTAAGAGCTCGCTCGTCTATTGATCATGTCTCTTACCCACCCAATTCTTCGTTTAAGTTTTTCTCTCTTAACTGTTTTTGGAGTCTTAAGCAATGTGCTGGTTTGTTTTGTGATTCTTTTTAACAGACAATTGAGAACAACAATGAATTATCTTCTCTTAAATCTAGCTATCTCTGGTGCAATTCTCTTAGTGTTCTTCTGCCCGACAATCTTGATCAACTTCAGCTCGAAAGATTTACTATTTGACGACACAAAATGCGTAGTTTTTTCTGGTGAGGACGTTGGTTGGGTCTGTAAACATGTATCGACCTACCTTAATGTTTTGGTCACTTTAGAGCACTGCCTTGCCGTCAAGACGCCGTTGAAGATCAGGACTAACTACATTGTGAGAAAGCAGCGTTTCATCATAGTTCTTTGTTGGATGGTCGCGATAGTCTATCAAACCATAGCCCTATTCATCAAGTATTTCTACGACTGCCCGGCTAACAAACCAAGTCTTCTAATCGAAGTTCGTTTATATTACTGGTCATGTTTTATCTTCAACGGGGTCCTACCAATACTAGCCATCACTACATTCTGCCTAGTGAGCGTTCATTGTCTGTACTTCAAGAAAAATGGGATGACTAAATTGAAAAAAGAAAAGTTAATAGCAAGACTACGTTTGAGAAATGCCATTAAAGTGGTGATATTCATAGGTTCTAGTTACATTATCACTGGTATTCCAGAGCTCATATTGTACTTTTTTCTCGCAGACCCGAAAACATCGAAACGGTTAATAGGCATCCAATTTGTCGTATTCGTCACCATGGCAATGCTTGGCTCTTCTGTGACACCGTTGGTATCATCTTCCTTTTTGAAGCGCTTTCGTTACTTTACGAAGAAGTCGTTGTGTGACTGTCATGGGCTGAACGCTGCAAAAAAGCAAAGAAGCAAAAACGAATGGAGAGAAAATTTTGCATGAATAGCAAACCGCAAACTACAGGGAAGAAAGATAATGCCTTGTCTGGGATAAAACGGGGAAAAACGCTCATTCGTCATGAAAGGAAATCCCGCGGGCATGCAAACGGACGGTGGAACGATCAAAGAACGATCAAAATAATAACCGGGGCTAAAGCATGCAGAAAATATTGACAATACAGCTTAATGACAAATATTTTATACTAAGAATGTTAATTCCTGTTTCACGTGCAACAGTAAGATTGATACACGTGCAGTACAAGGAGACAGGAAGGAAGGGTTACTTTGAAACATGTCATAATACGTCGCGTTTTAATCCAGAATTTAGATTTTACATGTTTTAGCTGAAATTGTTTATTAGTGTTAATATAAATGTAATTAATGATGGATGGATGGATGGATGGATGGATGGATGGACGGATGGATGGATGGATGGATGGATGGATGAATGGATGGATGGATGGATGGATGGATGGATGGATGGATGGATGGATGGATGGATGGATGGATGGATGGATAAATCATTCACACTATCTTTGACAATCTAATAAAATATTAATTCGTTCACTATTCATGGTTCTTATTTTATTTCAAAATAAATTTATAATAATAAATAATAAATATTTGGAAACAAAAGTACGACGCCCATTAACACCAACTTTAACAGATCAAAAAATATCTCAAAGTATTCTAATCGTTTAGCTTTAGCACCACGAAATTTTCACCGGCACCAAAGCACTCAGATCAATGACGTTAACTCTATCAACAATAAATTTTTACCGACAATTACGCATGTGACAACAATTACTCTAATATTCTTACCTCACCGATGATTCCCTCTATTCCTGTACTACAGGATACGTTACATTACATAATCCACTTTCTTTCTCGATTCGTTCCGCTTAAAACAACTTATTTTTGACTTTCTTCAGCCGGCTAATAGCCCATCAACTGTGGATAATAAAGTAAGGTATTATCTGTGTTTGTCAGTATATAACGAGACTGGAAGCTCTATTTTAGGACCAGGGGGAGGGGGGTTCAATTTCTGGACTTGAAATCTCATGTGAGTGGAGTTTTTTGTGTCTCTTCGCTTTAATACGAAGTTTTTTTAACAGGTTTTCGAGTTTTCATTGAGTTTGAGAAACATCAGTAACAAGCTAACCATTCCAGTCAGAATCAAGGAAGAGTAAATTCTCGGCTAGCAAAATACAGAGAATGCCTTACATAAGAACAAGAAAAAGTGAAAAAGTCTTTATTGCCACTGTAGCAGGGAACAGACAGATCTGACCACGTGATTTCTAGCCTAAAATCACGTGCCTCCTGCCTAAACAGCACGTGTTTTAACCCTCAGAATCCGTGCCGCACGTGTGGGATTCACGTTTGTTTTGTTATACACGTGCTGGAAGATATATTTGGCGGTAAATAAGTTACCCTTGACGTAAATACGGATTTAGGGGAATCCCGGATTAAGCCATTAGTAAACCATTTTAATTTTTATTGCAATTTACTCAATGCCCACGGTTATCTGTCATTTAACTACTACTGCCCTCAAGCTAAATTACGCGGTTTGATAAAATTTGACAGATTTGAGTGTTTGGAGCTATTTGTACGAATGATCATTTCCTACGCTCCTCTCGTGTTCTCTCAACATCCCGCGTGTTTTGATCAGAGTATCAAACACGAAAAACTGTCTTTAATCTGTTAATTAAAAATAGTTAAGAAAATGGACACTTTTGTCGTCAATGAATCAAGTGGGTTATAAGTGAGCAAGCGACAACCTGTCCAAAGAATCCTGCAAAAAGTTAAGCAGAAATAAAGGGTCTTGAATCGAAAGAGGACCTTCTAAGCAACTTTTCTCACAATGCTTGAAAATTAAATGTAGCTTTGCAAGGTGAGGTGTTGCAGTAGGCGAGGTGTTGCAATAGGCATTGGGCAACGCGTTCAACGCGTCCAGATAAGTTGCTTCGAAAATTTCACGGTGTAAGAGGGGCTTTAGTAGTACTCTTCTCTGCCCCGTACAAGATGGGTGAAATGCAATACGCATGCTCGGAAAACCACGACAATCAGCCGAAAACTCGCCGACACGAGTCTCGAGCTACCCAACAAAGGTGTGCAACATACTACGCATACTCGGAAAACCACGAAGGACAGCCGAAAACTCGCCAACAGCAAGGAGGAAAATATTCTTACAGGAAATCCCCAGGTTTTCCCGCAAGTTTTCTAAGCATGCGCAGTTTGGTTAAGGAATGTCGTTTCTTAGTGTTTTGAATAAGCTATAACTAGCTTTGGATATTGTCATATAGTTGAGTTTGAGTTAAGTTTTTATTTGCACGTACTTTCTTGTTTACAGGTTTACAACACAATACTATTTTATAACAGAAAAAATTATTTAATTTTACATTTATAATGAATTATATATTTAACAAAAGAACTAATTACAATATTACACGTTTAATAAATAAAGAATGAAATAAAAGTAAATGAAAGTAGTGCTGGTGAGCTAGAGTAACATACGTTTTCGAGCTAACTCACCATTTATAGAGGATGGCATTAGAGACCAGAGTGAAACAGTCGAAGGACTTAAAAACTATATATCAAATAAGATATAGTGTTGATATAGGGGTTCTTCAATAGCGCCCAAACAGTTTATCATGTCAGACGCGTAGTTAAAATGTTGAAATGTCGATTCATAGATCAATTGCGCCGATCTTCCCTCTTTTCATGAAACAACACAGAAGCGTTTTCATTCTTATTCAGATACAAAGAGTTTTTTTAAGTCAGGCGCGTAGTCAAAGTGCTGTTGTTGCCTACGAAGGCTCTTGGTTGGCACTCTCTAACAACATCAACTCTCCCTCTCTTAATAAAGCAGCACAGAAGATTTTTCATTGTTTTTTTGATGTGTATCTTCAGTTGATTGCTTTGGTAGCTGTACAACACAGGATTAATGCTGGAGTTTAGAGTCACCATCAAGATTCCAACCTTATGCCACAGGGAGCCCGCTTGCATTGTGGAAACAAAGGACGAAACACAGTAGAATATAGTGACCGGTGCCCAACAACAGCAGTAGATGATAGTTATAGCAATCATGATCTTAGTAAGGCGCTTGCGACTTCGCATGCGCACTCGTTGGCATATATTCACCGTTTTGTTCCCCGTGCGCCAAAGGGCATTGATTATTCGAAGGTATATAGCTGCCATAATGCAAACTGGAATGACAAAAGCGATTAAAAGCCAACATATACTATAGGCTATAACGTGCCACCTCTTAGGCCAATCGCCAACGCAGAACTGCTTCTCCTCACTATACTTTCGCGTTAACATTTGCGGCACGACCCAAAGAATCCCGAACACCCATGACAGGATAATGATAATCCTTACTTTACGGGTGCTAAGGCGCCCTTTGTACGAATGCGGGTGAATGATTGCGTAATAGCGCTCGATAGAGATGGAGAGTAAAGTACAGAAGGATACGACTCCTCCACACAGCATCAGTGTTTGGCCGGTCAAAAACGTGCAGAGCATTAGGCCGGGATTTCCCGTCGGATGTTGGAACAGCTTGATGAAGATGAACCATGGCGACATGAATAATCCTACAGTCATGTCAGCAATCGATAGGTTGACGAATAAAATGTTCATAGTCGTACGCAGAGACCTCTTGTGTAAAATAGTGTAGCAGATTATTGAATTACCAGCAATGTTGAGCGCAAAGGACGCAGAAAAGAGAACATTCAGAGCTGTGTCGGAGTGAGATTCTCTCATTGTTGAATAGTTAGAAGAAATACCCAGACGGGAGAACAGAAGCGAAAGGAAACGATCAACTAGACAGGCCTAGAAATTTGGATCAGCGTAACGAAAACGTATATAGAAATATTACTGATAAGATAAGATAGAAAACATGAAGGAGAGCATTCAACCATACCATGCAAGACCAAGGCCAGACTGAACTTTATAAACCATGTTTCGCATAATTTACTCTTCCAGCACTTTTGTACGATCTACTTTCACACTCATTAACCTTTTATTCTATCCTATTCTTTGCGTTGATGAGTCTTTAATAACCATGGAAGTTTTCACGACCTCCGGTTTGACACTAATATCGCTCGATAAAAGACCCCACGGCGATTCTCGCGCGACCCAACAAATTGCTATTCCGTTGTTCCGTTGTTTAACGCTGCTGCAGCTTTGTTTCTTTTCTTTCTTTTTTTTTTTCCTTTCCTTTTCTTTTCTTTTTTTTTCTTTTCTTCTTCTTCTTCTTCTTCTTCTT